CCTCTTGTGGCAGAGAATTCCATAGGCTTACCACTCTCTGGGTGAAGAAATTTCTCCTTGTCTCAGTCCTAATTGGCCTATCCCATATCCTTGAATGGTGATCTCTAATTATGGACTCCCCTCTCATCGGAACATCCTTCCTCTGTTCACCCTGTCTCATTCTGTTGAAATTTAATAGATTTCTATGAGGTGTCCCCATTCTTCTAAACTCCAGTGAATATAGTCCTAACTGATACGGCCTCATTTCATTTGTTAGTTCTGTCATCCCAGGAATCAGTCTGGTCAATCCTCATTGTGCTTCCTCTAGGTTGGACCGAAGAACATCCTCTGGAAATCCAAATAGATCGCACCCACTGGCTTTCTTTTGTCTGACTTGCTTGTTGCCTTCTCAAATAACTGCTATCTCATTCAGAACTTTGGGATGTAGTCCATCTAGTCCAAATGATCTATCTGACTTCAGATCTTTCAGTTTTCCCAATAACTTCTCTTTAGTGATGGCCACTACACTCACCTCCACCCCCTGACTCTCTTGAAGTTCTGATATGCTGCTGGTGTTTTCCATTGTTAAGACTGGTGCAAAGTACCTATTCAGTCCTCTGCCATTTCTTTGTACCCCACTACTACTTCTTTAGACTCATTTTCCAGTAGTCCAATGTCCACTTTTGCCTCGCTCTTACCTTCTAGATATCTAAAGTAAAAACTTCTTGCAATCTTCTTTCATACTAACAACTAGCTTAATCTCATATTTCATCTTCTCCCCTCTTATTGCTTTTTTAGTTATCCTTTGCTGGTTTTTGAAGGGTCCCAAATCCTCTGTCATCTTCACCACATTGTATGTTCTTTCTTTTGCTTTTATGCTGTCGCTCACTTCCCCTTGTCAGCCATGGTCGCTTCATCCTCCCCTAAGTATATTTCTTCTTCCCTGGGATGAATTTCTGTTGTGCCTCCCAAATTACCCCCAAAACTCCCGCTATTGCTGTTCCACCATCTTCCCTGTTAGGCTGCCCTTTGATTCAACTCTGGCCAGCTCTTCCATCATGTCTTAGTAATTACTTTAATCAATTGCAATACCACTGCATTTGATTCTAACTTCTCCCACTCAAACTGCTGGGTGAATTCTATCATATTATGGTCACTTTTCCCTGAGGCATTCCTTCACCTTAAGCTCCTTAAACGAGTCTACTTTATCACTAAATCCAGTATTTCCTGTTCCCAAGTGGGCTTGACCACAAGCTGCTCCAAGAAAAATCTCATAGACATTCCACAAATTCCTTTTTCTTGGGATCCGCTACCAACCTGATGTTCCCAGTCCACTTGAATATTGAAGTTTATTGTAGCAGTGCCTTTCTTACATGCCTTTTCAATTTTCTGATTTATTTTCTGCCCCATATCCTCAACTACTTGAGGCTTTTAGATAATTCCCATCAGGGTCTTTTTTACCTTTGTGGTTCCTGAATTCTACCCATACAGATTCCAGTCCTTCTGACCCTGTATCACTTCTTGCTATTGATTTAATTTCATTTCTTACAAACAAGGCAACTCCACCCCCTCTGCCCATCTGCTTGACCTTTCAATAGGACATGAATCCATGGATATTCAGTTTCCAGCCCTGATCCCCTTGCAGCCACATCTCTGGCATAGACTCCAATTTCAGTCTGTGTTGTTTTGTATACTGTGTAAATTAAAGTACAACACCGTGAGTCCTGTGTTGACTGGCCCCTTGCTCTTAGTTGTCCACTTATCAGCTGTGCTTGAAGTTAGATTCCTGAACCTTTATACACTCCCTGTCCTTTACTTGCTCTGGGGACTTTAATAATCTGTGCTGACCCTTCCCGTTCTAACATTTTCCATAATTTTCCATGCAGCTGAACCCAACACCCTAATACTTGGTTCAAACCCCTATCCATAGCTCTAGTTATGCAATTCACCAGAACTCTGGTTGCAGCATGGTTGAGGTGGAGCCCATCCCATTGGAACAGCTTCATCCTTCCCCAGTACTGGTGCCAAGGTCCTATGAATTTGTCCCTGTTTCTCCCACACCGATCTTTGAGTCATGTGCTAACCTCTTTATTTTTGTCAGTCTGCAGGAATCTCAATCTTGGCCACAGAGAACAGTGTCTATTCCCCTGATTGTACTATCTCCAATTACAACTACAATTCTCTTTTCTCCTCTTCTTGAATGGCTTCCTGCAGCACATGGCTATGGTCAGGTTGCCCATTAGACCATAAATTCGTAGCTGGGAGAAGTTGGTTGCTGAGCAGATGTTTCCTGTGCAAGTTCAGCCTGTTGTTGACTGTCAGTTTCCTGTCAATGATCAGCCTCTTGTTGAGTACCGGTTTTGAGTGAATGAACTGCCTGATGTTGAGGGTCAGTTTTCTGTGAATGATCAGACTTTTGTTGAGTATTAGTTTCCTGTGAATGATCAGCCTGTTGTTGTGTGTCAGTTCCCTGTAAATGATCAACCTCTTGTTGAGTCTTTGTTTCCTAGAATGGTCAGCCTGTTGTTGAGTAATGCTTCCCTGTGAATAATCAGCCTGTTGTTCAGTATCAGTTTCCTGTGAATGATCAGCCTATTGTTGAGTGTCAGTCTTCTGTGAATGATCAGCCTGTTGTTGAGTATTGGTTCCCTGTGAATGATCAGCCTGGTGTTGAGTGTCCATTTGCTGTCTATGATCAGCCTGTTGTTGCGTGTCAGTTCCCTGTAAATGTTCAGCCTGTTGTAGAGTCTTTGTTTCCTATGCATGATCAGCCTGTTGCTCAGTGTCAGTTTCCTGAGAATGATCAGACTGTTGCTGAGTGTCAGCTTCCTGTGAATGATCAGCCTGCCAAGCATACGTTCCATTGAATGTTCCATCTATTTAACTGTCAGTTCATGGGCTGCAGAAGATTGTTGCTGAATGGATGTTTCCTGTGAATGATCAGCCTGTTGTTGAATAATGGTTTCCTGTGAATGATCAGCCTGTTGTTGAATAATGGTTTCCTGTGAATGATCAGCCTGTTGTTGAGTGTCAGTTTCCTGTAGATGATTGGCCTGTTGTTGAGTATTGGTTGCCTGTGAATAATCTGCCTGTTGTTGAGTGTCAGCTTCCTGTGAATGATGAGCCTGTTGCTGAATGTCAGTTTCTTGTGAATAATCAGCCTGTTTTTGAGAGTTCGTTTCCTGTGCATAATCAGCCTGTTGTTGAGTATTCACTTCCTGTGAATGATCAGCCTGTTGTGGAATGTCAGCTGTTGTGAATGATCAACCTGTTTGTGAATGTCCATTTCTTGTGAGTGATCAGCTTGTTGTTGAATGTCAACTTTCTCATAATGATCACCTTGCTGTTGAGTGTCATTTCCGTGTGAATGATCAGCCTGTGGGTGAGTGCCCATTTCCTGTGAATGATCAGCCTGTTGTTGAGTGTCAGTTTCCTGTCAATGATCAGTCTGTTGTTCAGTGATCATTTCCTGTGAATGAACAGCCTGTTTTTATGTGTTCGTTTCCTGCGAATAATCAGCTTGGTGTTGTGTGTTAGTTTTCTGTGAATAATCCACCTGTTGTCAACCATCAGTTTCCTGTCAATGATCAGCGTGTTGTTGAATATCAGTTTCCAAAAAATAATCAGCCTGGTGTTGCATATCAGTTTCCTGTGAATGATTATCTTGTTGTTGAATGTCAATTTCCTGTGAATAATCAGCCTGTTGTCAACTGTCAGTTTCCTGTCAAAGATCAGTGTGTTGTTGAGCAATGGTTTCCTGTGAATCATCAACCTGTTGTTGAGTGTCAGCTTCCTGTGAATGATCAGCCTGCCAGGCGTTTGCTCCTTTGAATGTTTTGCCTGTTCAACTCTCAGTTCACGGGCTACAGAAGACTGATTCTGAATTGACGTTTCCTGTAAATGGTCAGTCTGTTGTTGAGTGTCTATTTACTGTAAATGGTCAGCCTGGTGTTGAGTGGCAGTTTCCTAGGAATGACCAGCCTGTTGTTCAGTGATCGTTTCCTGTGAATGACCTGCCCATTGTTTAGTCTCAATTGATGTGAATGATCAGCCTGTTTGTTGAGTGACAGTTTCCTGTGAATGTTGTTGACTATTGGCTTCCTGTGAAAGATCGGACTGTTGTTGAGTGGCAGTTTTCTGTGGCAGTTCAGCCTGTTTTAAGTATTGGTTTTGTGTGAATGATCTGCCTGATGTTGAAGGTCATTTTGCTGTGAATGATCAGACTTTTGTTGAGTATTAGTTTCCTGTGAATGATCAGCCTGTTGTTGAGCGTTTGTTTCCTGTGTATGATCAGCCACTTGTTGCATGTTAGTTCCCTGTAAATGATCAGCCTGTTGTTCAGTGTTCATTTCCTGTGAATTATCTGCCTGTTGTTGAGTGTCAGTTCGATGTGAATGACCAGCCTGTTGTTGAGTGGCAGTTTTTTCGTGACAGATCGGCCTGTTTTGAGTATCGGTTTCTGAAGAAGGGTCTAGGCCCGAAACGTCAGCCTTCCTGCTCCTCTGATGCTGCTTGGCCTGCTGTGTTCATCCAGCTCTACACCTTGTTATCTCAGATTCTCCAGCATCTGCAGTTCCTACTATCTCAGTGAATGATCAGTCTGTTTTTGAGTGTTTGTTTCCTGTGAATGATCAGCCTGTTGCTGATCATCAGTTTCTTGTGAATAATCAGCCTGTTGTTGTGTTAGTTTCCTTTGAATGATCAGCCTATTGTTGAGTATGTTTCCCGTGGATGATCGGCCTGTTATGTGTTTGTTTCCTGTGAATGATCAGCCTGTTGTTGAGTGTCAGTGATCAGCCTGTTATTGAGCGTTCATTTACTGTAAGTGATCAACCTGCTTTCGGGTGTCAGTTCCTGTGAATGATCAGTTTGGTGTTGAGTGTCAGTTTCATGTCAACGATCGGACGGTTGTTAGGTGTCAGTTTCCCGTTCATGATCTGCCTGTTTGTTGATCGTTTTCCCTTCTTGTGAATGATGAGCCTGTTATCGAGTGCCCGTTTCTTGCGGGTGATCAAGCCTGTTGTGTCAGCTGGGTGTCCACTCCCAGTGAACGATCTGCCTGTTCCGAGTCTCAGCTGCAGAAGCTTGCTGCTGAGCCTGGGTTCTGAACAGCCAGCCGGCTGGTAAAGTGCCTGTAACCGCGGGCTGTGAGTGGGTGTTGGTTTACACTTCCTGTTGTGCAGCCGGTGGGTGTGGAGTTACACTACCTTTGCTGAGTTTCCGGGTTCACCTGGAACAACCAGCGCCCCGGTTGAGCCGAGACAGACGGAGAGATTCGCAGCCGCGATAATGTGCTCCCTGCGCCCAGGGCTCCTCAGCCTCCTGTCCTGTTCCCTCTGTTTGCTCCAGGTGAGCCGCGCCACAGATAACCAGCAATGCCTGAGCGACTACATCCTGGGCCGGGATGACTTCGTGCTGGACACCGATGACTCGGTGGCTGACGGAGCCACTTTCCTGGGCTCCCCCAATGTCAGCCGTGCCCGAGACTGTGTGAGAATGTGCTGCCGGACCGCGGGCTGTAATGTGGTCCTGCTGGAGGACCAGTTCCAGAAGAGCCAGCACGACCCCCTGCTCAGGCAGGTCAGCGGCTGCTTCCTGTTCAACTGCCTCTACAACCAGGTCTACGTCTGCAAGTTCTTCAGGAGAGAAGGCTTCAGTAACTTTATACTGAACACTGTCCATGAGGCCTACATCAAACCAAGGAAACCCGGTGCAGGTAAGCAGCTCCCTCCCCATTACAACCCACCCTTTTCCCTCTTGCCCAGGGGTGAAACTGTCATCTTTTCTCCCGTCCCTCTGTTCTCGCCCTTTTGTTTGCTGTGCCCTTTACCCTCTGCGTACATTGCCCCCCCCCACCCCCCCCACCGAGTTATTGGGGTGCGCAAACAGGATGAGGGGAATTGAGAGCCCAACTAGATCAGCCATTGAATGACAGAGCAGGGCTCAAGGGACCGAATAGCCTACTCCTAATCCCTAATCCCTAATCCCAAATCCCAATTTCCTCTCAGCTTTGCCACATCCTTCTTGATGCATCCTTTGCTGCTCTGCACCCTCAGTTTTAGCTGGTTATTACGCTGGTTAATCCCATTGGCATCCCGGAACTGGCTTGGCATCCTTGCCAACCCTGTGCATCAAAATGTATCCCGGTTCAGTGAGTTAGTGGAAATTTCCCTGGTGGTTAGGAGGCTCTTGATTAGGAACATAGTATGCTCTGAAACTGAGCAGGATGGTGTGTAAAGAACAGGCAATTGTGCCTCGTGTAGCTATCATTTGGTTCTCTCCACCCTCTCAGAAAGTAAGATTCAGTGCCCCTCAGACATGAAAGAGCAAACTTTCTAACAAACCTACGCTTGCTCCAATTCATATGTATGTAAACCCGAATGGTCTGAAAGCAATTTGCTGCCAATTTTTAAAGTATAGTCTCTGTTGTTAGCCAATGAAACATGGTAGCCAATTTGTACATTGGAAACTCCCACAAAGACCAATGTGATAGTGATTAAAATTAGATAATCTGCTTCTGTGTGATGTCAGTTGAGGAATAAATATTGACCACAACTTTAGTGAGGGGAATGCCTATTATTCTTAAAGTAATGGAATATTAATACCTACCTGTGAAGGCAGACTTAATAGCACAAGCAAAAAACTGAGATTTTGCGCTACACCTCTACAAGTCATTGGTCAGACCACATTTGGAGTATTGGGTTCAGTTCTGGGCACCTTTATTAGCAGAAGATTGTTAAAGCCCTGGAGAGAATCCAAAGGAGATTTATGTGAATGATACCAGGATGGATTTGGATACAAGGAAAGATTAGAGAAATTGGGCTTATTCTCCTTGGATCAGAGAAGATTAAGAAGTGACCTTATTGAGGTGTTCAAAAGTGTGAACAATTTTGACAGGGTGAAGAAGGATATTCTGTTTCCACTAGAAGTAAGATGAGGAGAAACTTCTTTACTCGGAGTTGTTAGGATTTGCAATACACTGTCTGGGAGACTGGCAAAGGCAGATTCCATAGGAGGTTAGAAAAAGAGAACTGAATATATATTTGAAAGTGATGAATATAGAGGGCTACAGAGATCAGGCTGGAGAGTGGGACCAGCTGGGTATTTCTTTTGGGAGGTGGTACAGACACAGTGAGTTGAATGGCCACCAATCTTCTGATTCAGTGGGTTTTTGAATATAGTAAAAAAGGAACAAGTCTGAAGAATGTTTCCTGTGAAGTCTCTCTGTTTTTTGGTCAGGAGCAATTGCCTCTCTGTCGCTAATTGCCACCTCATCTAGGCATGTCTAATGAAAGGGATAGAAGAGGGGAAGATTACAAATTCTGCATTGTGAATGCAGGGCAGGGCATGAGACTGTTCAAAACTAACCTGTGCCCCCAAAGTGGATTTAATTAGCCTTGCGGTTTCTATGATTCTCATACCGAGGTACCTGCGATAGCAGCTGACGACGGTAATCATTAATGAACAAGGGCATGCCTCCCATACTTAAACGACATTTTTTCTCCTGTATTCAAACCAAATCAGCATCGCTTCATTGACTTACACCAGCTATGTGAAAGAAGCAGTTTTTACCCGGAGTCGATTTTTCCCTCCTTGGGCACTGATGCTCAGTTTAAAGAATGGTTGGCAGAGCAATTACTGAGGAAGCTGGTGATCCCTGTGGAACTGCACCTCTGTCTGAGTGCAAAGCTCCAAAGACCAAAGGGAGAGAAAAAAAAGAGGTTAAGTATTGATAACACTTCAAGCTCGGTGCTGTTGATGAATAATATTTAAATGACTTTAGGGTACTTCGTGAAATTTCTACAGCACTTTGAAGGAAAGAATTTTCTCATTGTCCATTGAAAATTGTAGGATGTTCTGAGGTACATCACTTTTTAAAGTATATCATTGTGTCAAGTAATTCTTGTAGGAAACACAGCAGTCGGCTTGTCTACAGCAAAGTTCTCACTATGCAGATGTTCAGAAAGTGATAACTGCTTCTTAGAGTAAAATATCTGCTCAAACAGAACTTTTTGCACAAGAATACAGATTCTCATTGAAATGGCTCTTGGATCTAGGTCTCGCAATGATCCCATGAGTCCATTAACCTTCCTGTCTCATTTGCATGTTGCCGCAATCATTTTAGTTTATACCTAATACCTTTTGTGGTGACTATGTACTGATAATCCCTCCCCTGCATTATGCTAGGTTGCATTTATAGCTTAAATCCCTGGAAACAATTCTAGAGCAATATTCTAACATAACACATTTCTCATCTCCTGGTGAGTCAGAGTCCATATTAGTCATACAGGAAGTTGTGTACTAACTTAACTGCCATCTGTTTTGATTTGCTAACTTCCCCGTCTCTCTGAATACCACTGAATTATGTGACAGTATGATTCCATTGGTTTGAAGCCCTTTAGTTTCTTGATCATGGAGGCATGCATTGGCAAACTGGCATTTCAACCAAATCATATCCCAACATGAATGCATATGCACTTCCAACTGGGGGTGATATCTGGGGCTGGGTGGCGTTAGTTCATTTTAGTGCTCCTAGGCTACATTTGAAAGTGATGAATATAGAGGGCTGGAGAGTGGGACTAGCTGGGTTGCTCTTTCGGGAGCTGGTACAAACACTATGGGTTTAATGGCCACCTGTTCTGTGAATTTTATGATTCCTCTGGTGTGGAAATTGAACATACAGCCTTCTGACTCGGTGGGTTTGTGATTTTAGAAAAAAAAGAACAAGTCTGAAGAATGTTTCCTATGAAGTCTCACTCTTTTTTTTTCGGTCAGCAGCGATTGATTGCCTTTTCTGTTCGTCGCTAATTGCCATCTCATCTATTCAGGGCAAATGTATACTGATGGCATTTCAAACAAATGAAGTTTATATCTGAGGCTGCGTGGCAATAGTTCATTTTCGTGCTCCTAGTCATTGGAGTTAAAAGTATATACTTAGTTGTATCAAATTGCAACATTAGTTCAAGATGGCTGAGTGCAACAATTGTGGAGTAAATGCTGGTTTACCAGTGATGTCCACGTTCCTGAGAACGAGCAAAGAAGTATCATATTGGTGAAGGAGCCCATATTCTGAAAGAAATGCATAATTCTAAAGGATTAGGATTAAAATGCAGAGTTGCTATCTTCAACAAAGTCTTGGCTATCAAACACCTACAAGTACTGTGCTTGGTTCTGATTTTGATTCTACAAAGATAGAGAAGCATCGCAGAAGTTGGAAGAAAAAGAATCACAAAAATGATATCAGAACTGAGAGCGTTCACAAAAACAGGAACTGTTGAGCAGGCTGGAGATCTTTTGAGAAAAGAGGAGACTGTGAGAAATGGCTTGATAGAGATGTTAACATTAAGTCGGGGTTTGATAGGGGAGATACAGGGAAGAAATTTCCATTGACTGAATGACTGAAGGCCTTGAGTATGCTTAATAAATTCAAAGATCGTCTCTGGAAAAAGATCTTTGCCTGAAAGTTGATTGGATTGTGAAACCCGCTCCCTTAAGATCATTAGGAATAGGAGCAGAAGTAGGTCATTTGGCCCATCGAGCCTAGTCTGCCATTTAATCACATTGTAGTCAATCTAATTCTAACCATAGGTTGCGTTCTCTGTCTGTTCTCCCCCTAACCCTTCAATCCCTTATCGATCAAGCATTTGTCTACCTCAGCCTTGAACATATGCAATGACTCCACTGCTCACTGGAAAAGAATTTTAGACTAACAACCATCTGAGGGAGGAAATTCTTCCCCAACTTAAACAAGACGCCCTCTATTTTGAAGCTAATGCCCCCGATACAAGGAAACATCCTCTCAGCACCACACTGTCAAGCCCGCTCAGAATCTTTCCTATTTCAATAGGATCATGCAGTGACCAAGGTCTGTTACCTTTCAGGGAATGCTGTAAAAGTATGTGAGGGAGAAAGGAGTAGAAAGAAAGGCTAGCATTTTCATCACTCCTTTGGTGACCACTGGCCATCATGCCCTTTGAGGTGTCCAGAGAAGTTCTTTTTACGTGTCAATTTGTGCATAGCAAGACCTCACAGAATACAATGAGAAGAGCAAATCTGTGCTCGAGATGTTGTTTGTGGGCGAGCATTGGCCAGGATCCCAGGAATGGTGACATGAGACCTTGCATGTGTCCCTGAGAGGGAAAACAGGGCTTCAGTTTAGTGCTTCACTTTTGAGGAAGGCACCTCTGACAGTATGGCACTTCCTCAGCACTGTCTTTGAGTGTCAGCTTGGATCATATGCTTAGGTCTCGGGTGGGACCTAAAGATGTGATGACTGTCTCAGAAGCCAGAACACTGCCACTGAGCAACAGCAGATGGTATTGGAAGTGTTATTTTAGGTGAATGATGGAAGGCTTACTGCAAATATAGATGCGTTGGTTCTAGTGGCCTGCTTTTGTGCTGCATATTCGGTAAAAGACCTTTTGTGCAGTTGTGTAGCTGCCTGTGAATGTGATGGTTTGAGTTGGACTGTGGACTACTGCACTGATCTGCTCCCCTGTGCCTCCGTACGGTTTCCTTTCTAGTCATTACTTAACCTTTTTTCCCCAGCTGATTGTTTGCAGAGCTGCCCAACTGTACTTATCACTGACATAGGCTGGAATCAGAAAAGTGTGCTCTGTCTTGGGTTAACAACACATGAACATGGGATTGATCTCTGGGGCAGACAGAGGGTATGGGATGGAAGTCAACATAATGAAAATAAATGTTGAAATATGC